GAATTCCATTTAAGAGAGATGGGAAACGGAACCACTTCTGTTATCGAGAACTCACGGACTTTAAAAGCCGGAGAGAGGATTGCACACTGTAGAGAAACGAGAGCAAAAAAACACTAACAGGTCACAACAGGGTCTTGTTAAGCTAGAAACGCTTCAGTCAGCAAAGGAAATGTGATGTGAGCGTGACTGACCTGGAGAGCACATCCTCTGGCCACAGCTTCATCTGCATTCAGCGTTGTGCTCGGCTCTTTCCCAAAGAACTTGCTGATTCGCTCTTTGATGGCCGGCATTCTAGAAGCACCGCCCACTATTTCTACTGCATGGATGTCATCTTTCTTCAGATCTGCAGAGACAAATGCTGGATGAATCATTTCCACTGATTCGGTGCAACGTTTATCATCCAAGCAAGGCTCATGACTTACGAGCTTGTTCCAGGAGGCTGCGCAACGGAGGCTCCACTCGGGCTAAAATATCAGCACACATCTCTTCAAACTGAGCCCTGTCATAGAAACAAAAATAATAGTATATGAGCTTAGTGTTAACTACTGTCGGGATGGCAACTTTGGTAAAAGTCCAATAATTGTGATTGGTAGGAATTCAGGTTTAATGAAGTGCAAATGAAAGGATGAAATGTAAATGTGATATATGCAGGGTTATATGCCAATTTCTTTCCCCTGACCTTCACTGATTAAAAAGCTGAGTTAGAATGGCCTATAATGAACAGAAAAAACGAGCAGGGATGCACTCAGAGCAGGATGACACGGTATGTCTGTAACAAAATACAAAACATTCAAAGTATTTTAAATAGCCACTTAAGAGCTAAAATTTGCTGTCCAAACAACCCTAGGAGGATAACAAAAACCATACACTCAGTCCTACAGCTCTATTCATAATATACACAGAACGCTTGTGGTTGTGACATTCAAAAGCAATTTCGTTGTTTTAAATATATTGACAGCGGCTTCCTCATACATGCATATTAAAGGACTACAAAATGTCATTAAATTACACTCAAAGCACATCTTACATACATAAGAAAATGGGGAAATCTGGAATTAGGACTATTGGGCAAAATAACATTCCTGAATGATGTCCTTACATTTAGTATATTTTATCTTGCATCTTATATTTTAGTATTATGTCTATTGTTTGTTTTCTCTCTTTTTATATTGCTGCTGGTCTCTGTGAGTTACCAAACTAGTTTCGTTGTATAACTACAATGACAATAAAAGTTCTTTACTTTACTCAAGAAAGCAGATAAAGTTACTGCTTATTCCTATGCTCGATGAACACTGAAGCTGCCAACCATCAAGTTGCCGTTTGATGACAGCACGGGTCATCTATAAGATAATGCTTAATAGCGAATGCGACAACAACTATGATACCATACTCAGTCATGGCATTATCCAAGGTTTGTTGTGAAAACCCCCTCTAGTGTCGAAATTTACACACTGTGCCTTTAAGTCTGTAATGTAGCACAAATCATATCAACTACTAGTAGTTTTGCTATGTTTCATAAAACCAACAACCACATATTCCTAGTAGAGATGGGCCGGTATAAGATTCTGACGGTATAATAACCTTGGATAAAAATATCACTGTTTCACGATTTGACTGTATTGTGATTAGTGCTCTAAAATATATTCTTTTAAATGTCTGGGTAAAAAACTAAAACTTTTCTCCCCTTTGAACGCAATATATTTTATTTTGAGAAACATTTAAAATATTTTAGAGCTGTAAACATGTCAGGGTAAATAATGAAAATAAATCATTGACTTCATCAGTTTCAAAAACAAAGATTTCATTACAATTTAAAACGGCATTCTTGTATATCTTTTCTGCTGGAGATACTGTTGTCCTAAAAAACGAAAAAAAATAAAAGAAATGTAATAATTTGTACACATACTATAGGAACGGTATAGTAGAAAGTGCTGGCGGTTTTAAATCCTTGACTTTTCCAAACCGCAGTATACCTTGAAAACGGTTATCGTCCTATGACTAATTACTAGTGAGATTTTTGAATGATGGGTGCATTAATTGATTTTAAAATAATTGAAGTAAACACCCACTATCTACTATTTATAATTCTTTATTAAACATCAATGCTGAACTGAAATTAAAAACACACATTGCATAAAACACAGCTCTCTGTGCCACCCATCCTCGTCACCGCTAGCAAACCGACCAATCACAAAGCTTATGCCACGCATCATTGTGATGAGTAGTTAAAATTTTTTGGACTTGGCAGAAGTATAATATCAGAATAAAAAAGTTTAATAATATAATATCAGAATAATATGGTACAATATAGTACGTATAAATCATAATATAGTAAATATAAATCATAATATAGTAAATTAGCCTTAACATTGCGGGATCACAATACACATGGTAGGAAAAGTAATTGAAAAATTTACCTTGATCAAATTTTATTGATTATAGGTTCTGAAAGTTAAATGTTTGATTACTTTGATTAATCACCCAGCCCTTCTTAAAGGTTGTTCATTTTTTGGCTGATTAATAAATTGACATAAAAATTAAGATTTGCGAGTCTCACAAAACAACCAAATATGCCCTGAAGAAACCCTGAAGATACCAGTCTATAGATCCTTTGGAAAAGAAAAGATCCAAAGAAATCCATGAAAATCCAATCAGGTAATCCATGAAAAAAATGATGCAGGTTTGGAATGAAGTGACAACTAAATGATGAAAGGATTTTAATCATTTGCAAGTCATCACTAAATTTGAGTGACTCCTTACCTGTTAAGTCTGCTTGAGACATCAACGTCATTCATGAAACACTCGATGTTGAGCGGCAGGTCGGAGGAGTTGGCGCTCATCAGCTTCTTCAGCTTCTCACATTCCTGGAAGAGCCGGACCAGAGCTCTGGGTTTGGTCTTCGCATCTAGTTTGTACTTCACGACAAACTCCTCACAAAAATATTTGACCAGCCTCTCATCGAAATATTTTCCTCCCATTTCAGGGTCAAAGGCTGTAGCAAGAATCTGTACAAGCAGGAAAAAAAATCATTTATACTCCCACATGCTAGTCACAATCATGTTTTGAGGGAAATAAATGCCATAACATCAGTACACACCTTAAGCTTGCCTTTATTAAAGGCACACACAGAAACCTGGTAGCCTGAATGGCCAATATCCACAAACACCACATTCCTTGGCTTTTCCTCAGGAGCGGGTAGATCCTGCTTGTAGATGCCGTATGCCAGAGCCACTGCACAATAAAAAACACAGATGACATTTAAGAGCAGAACGTAAAAGTGTTGCGGAAGTAGCATGGCAATAAACTGACCTGCAGTGGTCTCGTTCATGAGTCTCAGACAGTTGAGTCCTGCAATCTGAGCTGCATCGATGACGGATCTCCTTTCAGCATCGGTGTAGAAGCAGGGGACCTTAGGGATTTTAAACAGCAATTATTTATTTATAGTATTAAATAAGGGGATAAAAAAAACAAAAGAACATGGTTGACTTGAGCCTTGTGTTCATATGGAGTTAAGATGCGCGTTCATAAGTGTAAAAGGTGTCTACAAGGTATTGAGATAATTTTAACCACTTCCAGAAGGTAGCTGAAATGCATATGATTAGATTGCTTTTGTTTGCGTTTACCAACATGCCAGCTTCATTTTCATGGCAAGAATTTGTATACTGAATCTGTCATTTTACTCGGTGGACATCTTTGAAACGTAGGTTAGTATAATCTGGAATTCTCTTTAAATAGGGAAACATCAAATCCTCCAAACTTGCTTGCCAAGCTTATGATTACATTTCATATTAGGAATCCCCAATAAAATTAAACAACAAATGTACCCTTAGTGTAATTTCTAAACCTGTGAATTACACAAAATTTGCAGAAATTCATGTCTGGTCTGAACCTCTCCGCCAGAGAATCTCCAGTCTACACTGATCAATGATTAGCTCCTGTACAAGAAGGCAGGGCTTGATTTGCTATATTGACCGTTACACTTTCCTCTATTCAAAACTATACAAGTGAAATGTCTTGTGTATTCTAGAGTCTTTGATTGTATTAAGGTTTTACGTTTTTTTTTTGTTAAAAACTCTACAACTGTATTTGTATTAACAGTTGTTGAGTGTTTGAGCAACCACAATAGAGCACTTACGGTGGTTCTCCTGATATTTTCCTTTTATTGCAGTAACATTCCATTTTGCACATTTTAACATTCATCAAAAGTCAAAAGTTTATATTCATATGAATATAAAATTAACGCTTACTCAAATAGCAAGATCTGACTATTTTAATGTCACTGTATTAAAGATAAAATACATTCAAATAATTCTCTGGTCAGTTATTTATGCTTTCTGGAGTATGTCACTTTATCATTTGAAATGTGCAATGCTTTATATCCTAAAATGTTTTACATATCCCAAGCTAAGTGTCAAAAAATGTGCAAACATTTAGATTTGTGATAAATGTAACTTAATATTGGGAATTTCTAATTTCTTAATAGCTACTTCGGTATCACTTTGCATGAAATTAGGCTTGCCGTTTATAATGAGTTTTTTTAAAGTGAAGTGTGCTATGTGCTATTTTTATAGTTAATTCTTTGCTCCTTTTCATATTCCGAATACTGTTAAATTTCAAGTATTTGTTACTAAAATGCGTGTTTTTTTAAATGTGACCTGCTACTTATTTTTTTCCCCTCACAAAAGCACATGATGTGATTACGGCTGCATTATTTTGCACTGCAGATCTTGATGGTTAATTCCGATTTTGTGACTGTATCCAATTTGCATTTTTGACGACTTGCTCACATCATCTTTTAAAAGCGATTTTAATTACAGTTTGTGACATAAAAGTTATCACTTGGCCATCTTCTTTTGTTCTAGGCTTTTTTTTTTTTACCAAAAAGCATTTAAATGTCACGTCCAAGTCCAGTTTTTAATGATGCATGACTCGCATTTACATTGCAGAGATGAAGAAACCCATCCGATTCAAAACGGATACATTTCCACATATGAAGGAGGCCTGAATCTGATTTCAGCATTGATAGCGCAATGTGCAAATTCTTAAGTCACATTGCAGGACTGCAATGGAAGTTCAGTTTTAGATTATTGACCTCTTAAGAAAATTTTTGTGGGATTTTAGTTGACCAGAAACAACAGTTTAGAACGTTGTGGAGTCATTGCAAACCTAATAGAGTGAAAGTTTTTCATTTGCTTCGATTTTAAGGCCTGTGGCTGTAAGATTTGAAGTGAACTGAAGTGAAAATAATAGTGCATAAAAAATTATAATATTTGAAGTTAGCAAAGATTAATTGTATAATTTTAATTTAAACAACGAAGACAATACAATTTCATTTACATTTGATTTCTCAATTTCTGTTCCAGAAAACCATTTTTAAAACTATTTCATTTGAGTTTTTGCTCAATTGCATTTATTCATGCAAGCAACTTGTTTATTATGTTTTATGTTTCCTACGAAATCATCCCAATCAGTCTAAAATGACGAATTCTTTCCAATTACAGATTCAAGTCATCTGGTGAAATTACAGTATGTTCATATTACAATATGCCGCTGACAAACAAAATATCGCAATGTCAGTTTTTTCTAATATCGTACAGTTCTAATCTGATCTGAGTAAACCGGAAACCTTGTTTGCTTAGTGAACATTTGTTTCCCCTGCTTACACATATATCTGATCTATGCCACATGAGAAAAAAACCTGGAACCAATACACAGTGTAAACGCAGCCCAATGGAACCTTTTCATATCTGCGGGTTTCTTAGTAGCGGCAGTCTTCATAGTTGGGTAAACTTAGAGTTCAGTGAATGGGAGAGTTTAACAAATATTTTTTACAATCATACTTGCTAAAATAATAAAATATATACTTGATGATGGTGTTATAAAGGCTTTCGAAAAGAAAAAAGAAAATTGTGTGAGACTGATAACAGCAGCCAGAGGACAGAATAATGTCACATTTACTGTCCTGTCCCAAAGAGGCTGCATTAAAAACACCCTGCATTGAAACACCCTAATTTGTTTTTTGTAATTTGATGCAAAGATAATATAATACATACATAAATACATATAAATGTTCATATTTAAAAAAATCTATATATTAAAAACTTTCAAGGACTCAACTTGCTGATGATTATTAAACGAGTCATAACAGTCTTGTGAAAAGGGTTCATAAACTTATAATATTACACATTGTTAAAAAGGGCTTCAATCTTTTTTTTTTTTTTTGACTCACAGAGATGACACAGTCAGCCACAGGCTTCTTGAGGGCGCTCTCAGCAGTCTCCTTGAGTTTGGTGAGGAGCATCGCAGTGACTTGTTCAATGCTGAACACCTTCTCCTCCTCCATGTACATCACCTACGACAACATGCAAGATCATACGACTGCTTAAAAAAAAACAGAAACTGCTCCCAAACACTCTCACATTTGCTGCACAACAGAACTGTGTGCTTGGCTTTAGAAGAAGGATTGACTGCCAATCTAGACCTCTGAACAATGCTGGCACAATGTGATCAGTCATCAGCATGTGGTGACTGCACGAAGAAACCAGAACTCAGTTTTCCTGATCAAATCTCTTATTTTCAGACACCCACCTTTAAGCCCGTCGTGCCCGATGGCATCTGTGCCAGATCATAAACGAGACTAGGCTTCAAGTTCTGGACGAATGGATCTGAGAAAGCCCGACCATGAAAACGCTTGAATCCATGGACAGTGTTTTTGCAGTTGGTGACCATCTGTGTTTCATTTGAGACGCATTAAAAGAAATGATGCATTATTACAAATATTATGAATGGATGAAGTTGGATTTAAGAGATGCAAAATAAACTGCAAACTATGGAGAACATAAATAATACCTGGCTTTTTGCTGCAGCTCCAATAGACCGATTTCGTGGTCCAAAAGACACACATGCTCTGAAATGACGAACAGTGGATCAAACATTAAGACAAATGATTGTCACAGTAGAATGAAAAATTATTATAGCATGTTTTATGATCTATTTGTGTCAAATGCCTGTTTAGTTCAACTTCTCTGCATCAAATTAGCCTTACAAATGTGATTTGATATGTGTATAAAACATATTATATGCAGGTAAAAGTGTATAACTTACTTTTTCAAATATATTGTGGTAATATTGAGAAAACATATTGTCAAAATCAGGGAGAAACTTTTATTTTATTATATATTTTAAACAATTCTAAACATCTTGCTGTCAAATGGGGACAATCTAGTGCCCAAACTAGGGCCCGCAGGCAAAAGTTATCCCATGGTAAGTTTTGATTTGGTGTGCCATCCCATTTGAGAAGAGAGAGAATGATGGGGAGGGTTTCGATTGTCAATTCAAATTTTTATGTAACAAATTTGATGTAATTTAATGCAACCTTTTGTTTGTTTGCTTGTTTTGTTATTAAAAAAACTTACTGAAATGAAATGTTTCAATTAAACAGAGTAAATTAATCAGATTGTGTAAATGTACACTTTGGTGAGCAAATCAAGTCAAAAGCAGATTCTGCTAGACTATTCAGCATTGAACTCCACAGTTTTACAAATGTGACTGTTTATGTTTTTATTGAAATAAGGTGTAATTTAAAAAGTAATACTGCATTAGTTCATACAATTTAAAGTAATGTTTTATATTGAACTATTAGGAAATAAATTAGGAATGCTCCGATAGATCAGCTGGAGACCGGTATCAACCGATAATCACATTACAACTCGATCAGTACTCGCTAATCTGGAGGATCTCATAAACCAATAGCAAGTGTTTGTTTACGGGTTTACAAGCAGAGGAAGATCTATTTGAACTTCTTATGCATCAAATATGTGCTCAAAACTTTTTCTTGATTGAGACATGTTTAATTCTTCTCCCATTGTTTGCGATGTTTCCAAATTACATTGTTAGTCATTTTTCTAACCAATTTTTTTTTGTCTTTTCTATTATTTTCCATAAAGCTGTTTCTGACCATGACTTGTTCACACTAAATGGCTATAAGAGAAGTGTTAAAGGGATCATATGCAACATCCTTTATTTATTTATTATACTTAGAGAGAAAATGTGCTTTATAAAATGGTAAAGTTACATAAAGCTTGAAGCATCAGAATCGGTACTCTGTATCGGCCGATCACAATGACGAGGAATCAGTACATGGTATCTCCTACAAAAATCCTGATCGGGGCATCCCTAATGGCAACTTAAATGTAATATAGAGTAGGCATGGAATGATTGCTGGTTTTAAGGTATCTCAAAGTCAAGGTTTAAAAAGCGTTAAAATTTCTTTTATGCCGTTCCTAAGGTATTTGTAAGTTTTAGAATATTTTATTGAGTTTTTTTAGGGCAACAGTAGTATAAGTATCCACATCCCAAGCTACTGATGAGCCCATAATTTTTTTCTCAGGACACACAGTAATGTACAAAAATACATATAAGTTAATAAAAAAGTATCACATTTATCGTTTACTAAATAATTAAAAGGAAAAATCTAAACTAAATACAATGATTTTACATTAAATAATATAATTTAATAAGTCTAAACAAGATAATGAAAGCAAATGAATAATGTAGGGTAATATTGAGAGAGTATAATGTAGCTAGGTTTGTCAACTATCAAAACGTACACTAATAAAAAAGTACCATGGCTAAGAACAGTTTCATGATAATCATAACATAACACTGTGTTTTTTTAAGTACAGTTAGCAAGTACCACGGTATTTTCATATCGCTAATCACGCATGACTATGGTGCTGTATGGTGTAGGGAGGCTCCTGAGCGAGCTGAACACACTGTCAGATCAGCGTGTCTCACAAAGAAAGCCCGCTATAAACAGCGGCTTCCCGCAGTTGCACAACTCGGCTAAAAGTTGACCTGTTCATTATCGTGTGCGTTGGTGCTATAGAGGTGCAAATGTTGAAGACTCACGGTGTGCATCGGTCGCTGTATTCATTGGCCACAGTCTCGATTCCTCCGGCTCGAGCTACCGCAACATAGCAGTTGAGAAAACCCACGTCAAAACCCACCACCGACATCTTAAAAATAGCAGGATTACTCAAGTACTATAAGCCCGAAATCAAATGAGGACTAGGTGGTCAATCTGTATAATGCGAAGAGTAAATACGACAGTTTTAATTCATTATTCTACTGTACTTCATGGAGGAATGAGGCTGCGGATGATAAACGCCGCTCAGGAGAAAACAGGAACAATTCCGGTTCAAGGCGGAGCTTAAAGGTCCAATATAAAAGTAATATTAAAAGCCCCTCGAGATTATATGAATGTCTGTTTTAGCCATATAATAAATAAATAAATACACAGACAGATAGATCAATAGAACTTTTTACAGTCACAGTTTAGACGTTTTTTTTAATTATTATTTTTGAACATTTATTGTATAACAGAAATATGAATTTGGTACATATCATTTACAACAATAATCATTAGATTATTTACAGTGGTGGTAATAAAGAATGAAAAACGAAAAACAATAGGGAAAAAAATGAAATCAAACTAAAATTAAAGAGATATGAATAGGTTATCTGGTGGTGCCGTGGGTAGTGCTGTCGCCTCACAGTAAGAAGATCGCTGGTCCAAGCCTCGGCTGGGCTAGTTGACATTTCTGTGTGGAGTTTGCATGTTCTCCCCGTGTTTGCGTGGGTTTCCTCGGGTGCTCCGGTTTACCCCAATTGTCTGTAGTGAATGAATGTGAATGAGTTTGTATGGGTGTTTCCCAGTGATGGGTTGCAGCTGGAAGGGCATCCGCCTTATAGAACATGTGCTGGATAAGTTGGCGGTTCATTCCACTGTGGCGACCCCTGATAAAGGGACTAAGCTGAAAAGAAAACGAATGAATGAATAGGTTATCTGATCTGAGATTTTACATATAATAGATAAAAGAATTGAGGGTGAAGAGGGCAAAATAATATGATAACAGCAATTTAGAGATTTATCATACATTTTAAAGGTCGTTCCAATTGTATAAGTTTTGAGAGCTTTCTTGTTAAGTGAATCTGCAATTGTAAGTAATTTTAATCTCTTGTATAAATGCTATAAATACTGGCTTGCTATTTGAAAATGTACCTTTATCGATCACTTAATCACTTTGTAGTCACAATAAAATTCTGTGAAGTAATATTTGAGATAAATAAATTAACATCTTGTCAAATCTGGAACACGTGGTTGCATGACCAGAATGAGTGAGGAAGTTTCAGTATTATTTTAACTAAATGAGCAATTTGTATCAAAATCTGGTCCAAATCTTTTCTTTAAGAAGTACTTGACATTGTAAATGTTATGTAATAATTCTAAAGATATACAAGAAAAACTTTTGCTGATTTGTTTAGGAATACCTCCTCATGTACAGAGGTGAATGAGGTGCAGAGAAGCTTGCTCAGAGAAAAGCTTTTGTATCAATCATTGTTTACTTCATTAATCAGTTTAATGGTGAAGGGTTTGATCCAATAGAAATGGCATGCTTCCTTGTAAAAATATTTTGTAGTATTTTCAAAACACTAAATACAGTATTTTATTTAGATACATTTGTGGCTGCTGTATTTTGTAGTTGATTTTGATACACTTACATTTGAGATATTTGGCATTTTATTTTAAAATACATTTCAATGTATTTTTGCGCAACCCTGGTAGTAACAAACTTCCATACATTTCACTAAAATTGACATTTTTCAGTAAAATAAACCAAGATAGCAGAGTGGCATTGATTCACTGTTGAAATTCTATCAGAATCACCATTTTGGTTGAGTTTGAATATTCAGTATTGAATCAAATTATGAATCAACACTGATAATTCGATCACTTCCCATTTTTTTGAATACTTAAATTGGACCAATGTTAATAATTTAACAATTTCTTTACACTAAAAAAATACTTACATTGAATTAATGTTGATATTTTAGTAATTTACGATTGTTGAAAACACTGACAATAAATCAACATTGATAATTTGCCCATTTCCTAACAATAAAATACTTACAGTGAATCAACAGTAATTCAATAATTTACCTTTGTTGAAATTACTCACATTAAATAAATGTTGATCATTTACTCATTTCACAGCATTTAAAATACTTGCATTAAATCTTTATTGATTTTTTTTTTGTTTTAATTCAAATGCAATTGCTTTTACGTATACATACACATTATTGTTACATAAAAATCTGTGCACGAATTAAGCTATCTATTATCTATCTTATCTAATACACAGACCTTGTTCGATAAGAGGGGGCATTACACTGTACAAATATTTTCTTTCCTCAATTAAAAAACAAAAGTATTTTCACTAAGCATATACAACTTAATTAATTTTTGTGTAAATAATTTAGTTTTACTTATTTATAAAAGTTCAACTAACATTTAAAAAAAATGCATCCAATAAGTTCAGTTTTTTTCAAAACTATACTTTTTGTCTTTACAAGAGGGGGTGTATATATATATATATATATATATATATATATATATATATATATATATATATATATATATATATATATATATATATATATATATATATATATGATTTTTTGACCATTTTGATCTATTTATCATAACTGAATTAACATTAGCCTATTTCAGGGTGCAAAACTGGCTAAAAAAATCAATTGTCTGAATTTCAGCATTAATTCAATGATAGTTTGATTGATGTTTAAACGTTTATTCAATGTTAGTTACAGTGTAAATAGTGATGTAATTTTAGTTGAATAAATGCTGATTTTGTGACCATTTTGATTGATTTACCATCTTTGAATTAATATTATTTTAGGATGCAAAACTGGCTAAAAACCAATGATGAATTTTAACGTTGTTTCAATGACAGTTTTGTTAATGTTTTAACATTTATTCAATGTTGATTTAGGTTTGCTATCTGGAAAGTCTACACAATTCTCCGTATTGCAAAGTAGCGTCGTGTAAACTTAAACCATTGGAGGTTGAAGTTCCTGTTAATTTGATTTTAGTAATTATGGATATAAAAACCCAGCATACATGCACATCTGTAATAAATGTCTTTCTTTCCAAACGAAATTTGCAACATAAGCTGGACTTTTGTTTTGAAATCGTGCTCACTTCTATGACAGCTGTGACCCGGATGTTGCCTGTCACGCTTCTCGCAGCATCCGTCTAATAATGAGCTCTCCGTGCTGTGTTATCGCCAGCACCAAGTTAATAATACACAGATTATGCAGACATATCCAGCACAGAAGACTTCCACATGCCTACAGTATCGCTCATTTCTGCACAGACCGATCTCAGAGCCCGAAAGCTTATTACATCACTACTCCCATCTTCTACGTCAATGCGCCTCCTCACATTGGTCATGTGTATTCTGCTGTCACTGCTGACTGTCTGCACAGATACAAGCTCTTGCAGAGATACAACTCCAGGTTTGCTACAGGTATGTCCTTACACGTCATATTTCTGAAATATAGTTATACAGGGATCCCACTTTAGGCCAAACATCAAATTCCCGTCACTTTCACTTTCTAAAAACTTAATTTCCAATACATTTATTGAACATAAAACAGGTTGTGGTTGATGGTCCTCAAGGAACGTGGTTCAGAAACACTGCTGTACTGTATTTGACAGTTCAATAGTAGCTTTATAACATTAATTTTTCCATTGTCTACTTTTAACACAGTTTTTAAAGTGGTCATTTTGAAGCCAAAGCCTTAAAATGTATGTTATCCTGGAATGCGAACTTTAACAGGTACAGTCTAGTGACTTAAAGAGATAGCTCACTCAAAAAATGAAAATGTTGTCATTTACTCACCCTTTACTTGGAAAAAAGGAACTAAAAAAAGATAATAACTTAAACATTTATCAAAATGTATTTTTTTAAAATATTCAGAAATGAAACAATTCTTTTCCCTAGAGCAAGCAGTAAACACAAATAAAAAGACTTGAACTTTCTGCAAACAAGTTCAACTCAAATTCGGAAGATAGTGTAGCTTCTTATAAAAACAAACACAAAATAATAATTATAAAAATACAGAACATTCAGCAAACTGACATGGCTGAGACAACTGAAATTGTATTTTGCTGTTACTTGCTACTAGATTGAGCGTCACTGGCGATACTTTTTAGCAAGACACTCTTTACTCAATTGTGCTAACTCAATTGGCTAGTAAGACTATTACACACTGACAGCAGTCACGCATTTGCTCTGGGCAGGGGAAATTAAATGAAACAAATGTTTCATATCGCAGCCTCTTGCGATTTAGCTAATTACAACGTTTTAAATCGCGATTCAATTTTAATTAATCACACAGCCCTATTTCAATACTAGGGAAAACAGGTACAATGGAATTCAATGGTTACAGGGTTTTAGCTTTCTTTAAAATATCTTTTGTGTTCAACAGAAGAAACTTAAAGATTAGGTACCACTTGGGGGTGAGTAAACAAGTACATTTTCACTTGTATGTTAACTATTCCTTTAAATGGCTGGAAGTTAGCTGAAGGGGTGGTCCAGAGTGTATTTTTGAGGCTTGGTTGTGTTTATGGGGTGCAAAGCAATGTGTGCTCATGCTCATTTTTATATATTTTACTTTGATTATAAACAGCTACTTTGCTAACATGAAAACGGCTGTCATATATCCTAGTTCCTCCTCAAGAGGCTCTGATTGGTCAGCTAACAACATAATGTGCTGTGATTTGTGTGCGGATTGGCTCCATGTCACCAGAAAGCATCTCTGCTATAACATTACAACATCACTGTCCAGGGTGTATGCTTGTACCCTGAAGGGTTTATGACATCATTAACCTGGATGTATTTTTTATTGTTGTCCCCAAACTTTGTTTGCTGTAGGCTTTGTTAAGCTCACTCTATAAAAGTCAATGTCTCCCTTTGCATTTAACTTTGATCGTATAACACGCAGAGATGTTGTTTATGCACACACAGCTACATTAAACATCAACTAAAGTTTAAAATATGATATCATATTGGACCACCCTTTTAAAATTAGCATCAAAGAAATAAAATGGATCTTAAAAACAGCTTTAACAAAAAGCGCGAAACATCTGGAGAAAAAATACAAATATAAACAATGATAAATGTAAACTAAAATTAGGAAACAAACAAAAATGCATAATATTTCATGACTTGGACAAAAATATATACTTAAAAACTTGCTGACTTTCAA